TTATTTTGTTTCTTCTTCTCTTTTTTTCTTTTTTTTTACCTTTCTCTCTCCACTGCAATAAAAAAATTACTATTGTACGACTCTATGGTATTTCTGTTTACTCTCCCCGTGTGTCGGAGCCTGATGTCTCAAACCATGGCGGGGTTACGAGGCACGCCTCTTCTTTCCCGTGTGTGTGTGTTTTTTTTTTACGTGTGCATGTGTGTTTCTGTGATTTCGCTATCCCTGATAAAAAAAGGGGGGGGGGGGGAACGTCACGGAACACGAGAAGCAGAGTTGCTCGTTTACGAGGCATCAAAAGGGGTACCCGCGCAGGTCCATTGTCAGGACGGAGGAACTTTCCTTCTGTTTGTTCTTCAGCACCCCCACAAGCATGTCCGCGACGTGGTAGAGCTGGTCCTTCAGCGAGATGACAAGAAACTGTGTCGTGTTGCAGTTCTTTCGCATGTAGTTGGCCAACTTCTCAACATTTCCGGCGTCGAGGGCGGCGTCCACCTCATCCAGGACAAAAAATGGCGTTGGCGAAACCGCATGCACGGCAAACAAGAGAGCGAGCGCCGCCATAGTGCGTTCCCCGCCGGAGAGCAGTTCCATTGGCATGTACCGCTTAAGTGGCGGTGTCGCGTGGTACTTCGTCCCCGCCAGGTACGGCTCTTCCACGTCCTCCAGACTCAAGTACGCGGAGCCGTGCACCGCATGTGCCCGGGTACTCAGGGTGAGCTCACGGTAGACACGGTCCACGTTTTCCGCAATTCTTTCAAATGTTTCCATGAAGCGCTGTGTGCGGAGTTCCTTGACCTTCGCAAACTCCGCGTACGCCTTGTTGGCCCGTTCCCGGACCTCCTCAAGGCGGGCAGAAGAGGTGCTCAACTTATCCTCTGAGCCAACAAACCGCGATGCCGCCTTCAGGTTGGGGACAATCGATTCCGAAGCACGCTGCAAACTTTCCAGCAGCGTCTCTGTGCGTTGCTTGTAAGCCGCAAGGTGCGTCTTATCAGATGCCGCCTTTCGTAGAGCTTCTGTAAGCCCTGAGAAGTCCACCATGACCTGCGTTTCCCTTGCCGCCGCAGACGGACGAGACTGGGAGGGTTGCGATTGTTTGGTTGCTCCAGTGACTGAAGCCTCCTCCGAAAAGGAAAAGGGTTCACTCTGGCTTAAATCATCGCCTTCCACGGGCCGTGAACGCTTGGCGCCGACGGCTTCAAGACGTTTTAACGGCAAGGCAATTTCCTCCATCTGACACCGCCGCACAATATTCATACGTTGCAGGCGAAGTGTGTCGCAGGCGGCTTGAAGCGCCGTCACTCCTCGTCGCGCCTGTGCCAGTTTGCCAAGCTCTTGCTCAGAGGTCCGACCTCGCTGACGAATATTTGCCTCTAGTGCGTCCAGTTGCACCTTCGCCTCACTTAAGCCGGCCCTTGTCTCATTTTGCTTCTTCTCGGTGGTGCGTACAATCTCACTGTAGGTCGCCAGGTCCTCCTCACAGTGCCGAATCTCGTCCTCAAGCTGCGTACAAACCCCTCGAAGGTCATCGATTGATTGCACCCCAATGCGCCTCCGCTCTACCTCTAGGGAAATCTCCAGCTTGTGGAGCAAGAGCTGGATTTGTTGCCGTTGCTCAGCCCTCTCCCTCGCCCGCTGGGCCTCATGACTCTCAAGCTCCAACAGGTTAGGAATCTTCACCCGCCGAATAAATTCGGCGAAGATGCGCTCCTCCACGTGCAGGATGGATCCGCGCGTCTCTTGTAATTCGTGTAGACATCGTCTGAGATCAGACTCGTACGTGGCGTGACGCCTCTCAATTATGCGCTGCTCATTTTCCTGATTTGCCATCTCTCGACTCATGTTGGAAGCCTTTTGCTTCGTTGCCTGCAACTCCGCCTCAATCGCTTTGATGCGGCCACGCGTAAACTCCAATCGTGCCTCCATGTCGCGAAGCTCACACTGCGCTCGCGCCATCTCTGCCTCCGATCCCCCAGCCGCCTCACTTAGCAGCCGGTCCCGTGCCGCGCGCAGGTCCTCGTACTTTTTTTCGTCCCACTTCCGTGCACGTGTCTGAATAGACGCAAGACCACCCTGAACCGCGCCGTTGCGCATGAGAACAGAGCCGTCTAGGGTCACCACCTTAAAGCGTTCCCCGTCTTCGCTGCCGTATGCGACACGTCTCGCCTCCGTCATCCCGTCACACACGAGTGTCTGTCCCAACGCATACTGTACCGCAGGCTCAATAGCCGTGTCGTAGCGAATCACATCCACAACGGGCTTACAGGTCCCACCAAAGGTCCTTAGACGGTCGTTCGCCTCTTTCCCTTGCACCGAATCCAGAGGAAGAAACGTCATTGGTGGTAGACGCTGCTCTTTTAGATAACACACACAGGAAATGGCTGTCTCGGTGGTATCCACAACCACCGCTTCAAGATTTCTGCCCAATGCCACCGTCACTGCATGTCGATATTTATCATTGGGAATAGTGCAAAGATCCACAAGACGTCCACGAATGCCGTAAAGGGCACGTAGTGCCTGCAACGCTTCAGTCATTCGCGAGCCATGCTTGTTATTTTCCTTAATAAAACGAAGTTCGTGTAACTGCTCTTGTATTCTGGCCAGCTCAAGCTCTCGTTCTCTATTCCTTTTCTCTGCCTGAGAAAGATCCGCCCGTTTTTGGCCGATGTTGCGTGTCAGCTCCTCAACCGTGTCGTGAAGGTCTCCCATGCGGTGTTGCAACTCAGCCACACGGTCGTTGCTGCGTTGCACCCCCTGTTGGAGATCCTGCCTCTGAGACTTGACGTTTTCTATAGCTATTGTGCACTGTTTCTGACCTTCCGCCATGGAATGCTGCTGTCGTTTGATTCTCTCCAGTTGCTGTCGCAGCACCACCGTTTCGCATTCTGCCTCCTTACGCAGCTGGCGGTACTGTGAAAGTTGCTCGGCGCTCAGTGAGCCACTTAGCGTCGTGTGCCCCGCGTCCTCCTCCCTACACCTCTCATCAAAGGAGTGCAGGAGTGCCCTCTGCTGCTGCAACTGTTCCTCAAGGCGTTGAACCTCATGTGATTGTACCCTTTGTGTTTTCATCACGTTCTCCAATTCCTGCTGCTTCACCTCATGCTTCCGCCTCAAATGGTTCAGCGAGGCCTTAATGCGTTCCAGCGTACTATGTCTTTCTCTCAGAGCGTCCGCCTCTTTGCGAACCCGCTTAAGTTCCTCCAAGTAAGACTTGTGCTTTGCGGCGTATTCCCGCTTCATCTTGCGTATGTCCTCATCGGAGGCGATGCTCTTCTCAAGGGCGGTGAGCTTTTCAGTAAAGGCATGCAGCTCTCGCTTCTGCTTCTCCAGGCTGGACTCCACGTAAAACAGCTGCACCAACGCCTCATCACGCCTCTCCTCGCTCATGCGCCTCAAGACCTCTTCATACTTTTCCGCCTCCTTTTTCTGGAGCCGCATTTGGTTCAGAGCCACCACCGCATCCCGTTTGGCGGCTGAGGCCGTCGTCAACTCCTGATTCGCCACCTCATGCGCCTTCTTGCGGTGGTTGTACTCCTCCCTCAGCTCCCCACTTCCACTGACCTGTTCCAGCAGCTCCGTCAACTCCCGTGCTTTTTTTTGCGCTATTGCCTCCACCTCGTGCTGAAACACCAAGAAGTTATTCACGCGTGTTCCCACCTTTAACTTTGTGAGTGCCGCAAAATACTTTCGCTCCTCCACGGGGGTGCCGTTGAGCTTATGGATAACATCCCCGTTTTGGTCCACCGACCGTGTGAAGCGGACCTCCGTACCCTGGCCCCGGCCCGCCGCTGCTGCTGCTGACGTTGTCGGTGCTGTGTGGCACAGCACGACGGTCGCGGCGCACTCACGCCGCTGCGCGCCGCGGTGGATGAAGTCCGTTGCGTCCTTTCCGCGCAGCGCCGTTGCGGCACTGGGACTCAGCACAAAACTCAGCGCGTCCATAAAGTTTGACTTGCCAGCGCCATTGGGTCCCACGATGCAGGTGAAGTCCTTCAGGGGGCCGATGGTCACGTTGCCGGCGTAACTTTTGAAGTTGTACAGCTCCACGCGATCAATCCACGAGAGCATCAGAAGGAAACACACACACACACACACGCACGAGTGTAGCAATATGCCCTTTTTCCCTTCCCCTGTTTTCTAATAGAGTTGCGGCAGTAGGACCGAAGGGAGAAACAAGTGCGCATGCTCTCTTCTTCCCTGCGCGGGGAGGCCCCGCAGCAAAAGGCAACACAACACATACAGAAAGCGAACACGCACACAGAAACACAAAGTGAGAACAGAAGTTCTGGCAACTTCACTAGCACCGGGCAAGTCGTCTTGCCGTCGACGCTCCTGACATCGCCGCGGTATGCTTCCAACGCCGCCCCCTCTCGCCGGTAGGTGCGTGTCTGGAGGAAAAAGCGCAAGGACAGCGGCCCCACAGGCGCGCCAGCCCCCACACTCACCAGCACCGTGAATGGAATCTCTCCAATGTAGCCAAGCCGAGGCATTGAGATGCTCAACAATGGGGAGAGAGAGAAAAAAGAAAACAGTGCCGGTGAAAACGTCCCCGTCGACGAAGAAGTTCTCGCCACCCACAAGAACAGGGCGGCGGTGCGACGATGGTGGGCGACGATCCGTGACGGATGCTCTCCGCTCGCTTGCCTTGTCTCGCGTGGTTCAAGACGTCAGGGGTGCGAAGTCGGCCTGGGCTGTTTCCCAAGATCCATCACGAAGACTCAACAAGCAATGCCATCCGCTGTCCGGTGGAAGCCAACTGCACAAGAGAGTCGCAGAAGCCAATCAAAAACAGCGCGCATACACGCAGACAAAGAAATAAAAAAAAACAAAGGAGTGAATAAGACGAGAGTTCAAAAGCAGAACAACAACAGAGAGTGAGACCGCGGGAGAAAACAACACCGCCAAAGACACGGAACACCCATGCAGAGGAAGACTGTAGTGACTTTATATGCCCCCAAACATGGGGGCCGCATGTATTTCACGACTTCGTTATCCGATTAGACGCAGCACGACACCTATGCCAATATATCCTCAACAATGCACCGGCACCTTCTGCTCTGGCTGCCCAAAAGAAGGGGGAAGGGGGAAAAAAAAAGCAAAGGTCTGGCGTGAGATCACATCCTGTTCCTTTGTCCCTTTCTTTACCTTTCTTCTCGCACTTTTTCATTTCCTTTTTTTTTTGTTTCTTCCTCTCTTTGAGAGCACTAGAAGGTGTCATTCACGCGATTCATCACGGCGCGCACGCGGGTGTACACCTTTGCGGCCGGGCTACCACGAATCAAGTCGCAAAGCGCATCCCTTGCCACACGAATGTTCTGTGTCGTTCCCATCACCCAAATGTGCGTGTCAGCGATGACGATCCGTGTTCGTGTGACATTTTCGATGGTGTACTTTGTTTTGCCATGGGACCCGCTCATCCGCCCAATGCAGCGAGAGAGGTTGTCGCCATGCAGGTTGGCGCGCACATCCTTCACTTCAAAGCCCTCAATGTACACGTCGTCCATACGCAGCAGGGCGACGGCATCTTTGACGTCGAATCCAGCCACTACCGCCTTGACGAAGTCCTCCGCCTTTTGAAGGAGCACCTTGCTGCCGTCCCCAGCGCCGCCCGCAGCTTCCATGGTGGCTGGACAGGTCCGAAGCTCGACGGAGCGAGATTTAAGATTCATGCGAATCTCCAACTTGCAGTGCTCAACAATGGGGGTGTAGACCTCCAACCACACCTTCTTTAGGGGCGGGAAGCGGTGGTGGGGGACCTTGACGCTTCGCGTCTCGCGAATGAACGCGCTGCTGCTCTTCTCTTTTCCCGTGCCCGGGACACTAGCTACTTTGGACGACATGGTTTTCCTTTGTTTTTCTTTTTTCTTTTTCCGCCTCACCCCCCTTCTTCTTCTTCCTGTTGCTGCTGTTGCCAGAATACCACTTCGGCAGTTGGCTCTACGCCCGGAATGAAAAACTAACAAAAAGCAAGCCAAAAACAACAGCAACAACAACACGTAAAAAACAATGGCGAAGTAGACCGTCATCAAGAAGAAGCATCCACAAGAGCGAGCAGTCATGGACGCCACTTCCTCTAAGGAAGAGGAGAGAAGTGTTCACATACGCGCAAACCCAAAAAGGGAGGTGAGAATAGGATAGGCAACTTTGCTGAGAGAAATAAATACAACATCCGTCGCACAGCCAGAGGAAACAACATCACAAAGCAATGTACTTCGCGTACAATATATTTCCCCACGCGGTCAAGCATCATGAAATCCAACCTCAGTGAGGTTTCGCAGATTTCACTCGGCTTAGCTCCGCCCGGAACTATCTTCAGTCTAACGCCAACCGAGCCATCTTCTTGTTGTCAAGCTCACTCTCGACGTCACTGGAGGGCGCAGGCAGGTACTGCATGGAGCTGGCTTCCTTCTTGGCCTCCCCGGCGCCGTCCGATACGTAGGAATCCGATGGACTGGCGGCCTTGGATGACGCCTCAGACCCACGGGTTGCAGGCGTGCATTTTCCTGACCCTCTACACGTTGCCGTCGTGCTGCAATCGTCATGAGATTCGTGGGGTCGCCCCTGCCGTACGCCCGAAAAGCGTTCAGAGGAACTCGCTGGAGGAGCATCTTTATTTTCCAAGGTCCGCCCCATTTCCCCTGGGGATGACAAGGCAGAAGAGTAACGGGCAACTTGTTCGGCGCTCTTTGGGCTTTGTTGATCACGCTGAGGTTGCCGTTGCTGCTGCTGCTGTTGTTGTCGTAGCCCCTGACCATGATTTGCGTGCTGAGCCTCCCACGACTGCACCGGCAGTGGTGGAGAGGCCGACGGGCCCGGTGGTGACAATCCCCCTCCTCGTGACAAATCTCCGCTCGTTCCCGCCGTTGGACTCACGCCACGTTGACCGTCTGCCCCCATCACTTGTTGCGGTTGCTGCTGCTGACGGTATTGTTGATTTTTCTGCATTATCATCTGTTGTTGTTGCCGCTGCTGAAGCTCCCGCACGCTCAGTGGTGACATGTCGTACGTTGACTGGGGACTTGTGCCCACGGCAAACCGCCTCGAATCCAGCGGGCCCTGCTGGTTCGCCTCCCCACCCATCGTGCCCGGATGCGAAGCATACGGGGCACGGGACCCTCCCACACTCTCACCGCTGCCGTGGCCTCCGCCGGCGGCAAACAGACGATGCAACGCCGCATCCATAGCTGCCACCTGCCGATCCATTCTCTCCATTTGTCCCTGGAGAAAATTTACGCGTCCCTTGAGTTCCAAGAATTCCCCTCGAGGAACCTCAACGCCGCGCATGGCCCCGCCAGAATCGTCCCGAGGCGGACTCTCCGGTACCCCAGAAATGGTCCCGGCGTCTCGGCCACCAACTGGCACACCGTGCAGGAGCATCTCCAGACGATTAAAATCACTGCGACACGAACGCACCTCGCTCCGAAAGGACATGTTTTCCTCCATCAGGCTCCTCAGCTCTGCGGCCCACTTTGTGGTGGTGTCGTTCGTCGCCTCCAGCGCCCCGTGAAGGCGTGCGACATGCTGATGCATCGCATCGCACTCCTCGGAGGTTTTTCGGGTCTGCGTTCGCACCATTTGCTCCAATTCATCCCGAAGGCCAGCAACGTGAGAATCTAGCTCTAACAAAGAATTTCGCACCAAATCATGGTGACGACGAACGAGTTCATCGACACGGCGGTCTCCGCGTTGCTGCTCAATTCTTGACTCATTTTGCAAAGCGGAAACGGCATCCCGAAGATGATTCTGCTCAGCCGTGACGGTTTTGAAATGTTCTTCCATTTCTCTAGAAAGATCCTCTACAGGAAGCTTCGCACCTCGCTGAAGTCGCTTGAATGCGCTCTGCATCTCCCCCAAACCCCGTGAGTAGACTTCCGTGGCTTCTTTTAGTGATTCCACCAGCTCTAGATGAGACTTGCTCACCTCCTCTAAGCGTTGTTTCATCGTGTTGCTCACACCCTTCGTGGCGCCAGTGAGCATCGTTTGAAAAACCCCTTTCCACGACTTCATCTCATCGGCAATGAGGCGCCGCACAGCCGCCTCATCCAGCCCCGCAGGCGAGGGGGCGCAAATAGCTGATGTCGAATACGTAAGAGGCGCATTGAAGGGAGACCCGGGATCTGGCGCTTCCGTCGCAGTGGCGTCTGTGATGCTCCACGGCGGCGACGCCATGGTGCTATTGCGGTAGAGCCTATCACGCTCCACCGCCGTGCGTGCAATGATGGCCTGCATCTCCTTGTTGATGGAGTCAAGTCTTTGGCGGAAATGGTCCTCGTCGCTGGCGCAGGACGAAGTTAACATGACGCCGCTACTAAACTTGCGGGACGCGTTTTCCTCCCTCCCTCGTCTCTCTCCCTCTCTCACTCCCCGCCTTTCAGAGGTCGCTGCACACGCAGCCAGATTGGCTCTTATTCTTCTCGGCCAAAGAGCGACAAGCAAAGCGTAAACAAGCGTAAACGCAAGAAGGCATACGAGAGGCAAAAAAAAAACACACATACATACAGACAGACATACAATGCCACAGTTAAGAATCACACGTCGCAGCACAGCCCCTGAAAACTTTAGCACGCAAACGAAATTATACACCCGTCCATGTATCTATGTAAGAGATGCACGTAACTTTATGAGGACATGCACATAAGTGAGATATGCATGAGAAAATGAAACTTTGCTCACTCCCAGACGGAATCATACACAAAAATGTGAGAAAATATTTTGTAAAAAGGAGGAATTCTGAGAAACGCGGGAGAAAACAGATAAGGCGGGAGAGTTACTGTGTACAAATAAAATGAAACTCCCCCCGAAAGTGGGTAGAAAAACAATACGCAACAAAACAAGAAGGAAATATATATATATATATATTTAAGAAGGGAGAGAAGGAGAAGGAAAAGCGGGAGGAGAAAAAAAAAGCAAGCAAAAAACTCCTGGTTCCCCCTCCCCCTTCCCCCAAGAGGTTCCTTATCTCTATTTCCACTCTCATGCAACGGGGTATGCATCAAGCTCTTCTGTTCGTCAGTTCCTTTCGCTTTTCTCCCACAGCCTCATGTGTTCCAATAAACATATATATATATAAATTGATTCATTACCCCACCTTCCCCGTCCAGAAGGACCGCGGCCGCCACGGGCAGGCTCAGAACATGTATCACTCCTTTCTCTGCGCAGGGTACCATACAGGGGCCGTCGGAAGAACGTTTCCTTCGCTCCGTCTGTAGGATTCGCACAAGTACTCCGCGAGCGCGGCGGGAAAGATATTGGCAAACTCGGTTTGGATTTTTGGCTTCGACTTTGTGTAAAGGAATAGCACCTTTGCCCTTGTTTTTTCTTCGATCGCGGGCGAGAGTGCCGCCCACAGCACGGCAAACATCCTGGGGGCATTCACGAGGATCATCAATCCCAGGCGCTCGGGGAAGTGGTCCTGGATCGTGCTCACCACGCTGAGAGCCATTCTGGGGTGGTTGTCTTTAACGTAGGAGAAAGTTTCAAAGTCCGTGACGCATACCCACTGCTCTACCCCGACCGGCATGAGCTTCACCAGGTGGTTGAAAGCACTCACACAGTGCTTGAGTGGGTGCTTCCGCTCCGGCCCCCACCGCATGGTCATGAAACAAACAGGACGACTTTGGAGGTCCCACCCAACAAATTGCATCAGATGTTTATTTGGGTCCACTAGGCAGGTATCACACACCCAATTGTCAACGTCCTTCTCCTTGTGCCACTTCACAGATTTCTCTATCATGGCAAACGATTTTTTCTTGTCAAAGTTGCGGGCGATGAGGTAGCGAATGAGCATCCAATCATCGTGTTCGTTCTCGTTGTACCACGGAGTGGATTTAACGAGTCTCTTAAAATCCCTGAGCGTTTCCTGCTGCTTCACCGAGAGCTCCCGCAGGCGTGCCTCGAGAGTCTTCACAACCGCAGGCGGTCGCACTTTTGCGGCCTCCTCCTCCGTGGACAGAAAAAAGGGGATTTGGAACCCATCATTCTGCCTGGGTAAGAGAAACAGGTCGCGGGGCAGAGGCGAACTCGGGTTGGGGACTGAAGCCGACATTTCTTAACCTACCTTTTCCGGCACCTTCATTTTGATTACAAAGGCAAGTAACAAAGATGGAGATTCAACCACAAACAGCGCCCCCGCAGGAAATAGGGTGCAGCTCCAAAGTCAAAAACAAAAAAAGAGTGAGCAGCCTAGGTCTTACTTTACCCCCTAGTAGAATACGAGAGGAAGGCAACGCACAATGCGCATACGTTCATTTTCCACGGGTTCCGCCAAGAATCCAGCGAGCTCTTTCCGGTAAGCAAGCGCCATTCCAAGGCAGCTGCACCTTGTGCGTAGTCGTCAAAACACGGAAAAAAAGGAGGTGCCGAAGACGGCATTTAGCCCGACTCCCGT